TAAGAGTCAATAGTACTTCAACTTCAAGATAATACATTTTTCCCTCAGTAATATGATCTACCAATACATATATATTTCAGTAGCCTAAAGCTGTTTTCTTTAAGGATGTCTTAGGAGATTGGAACTTACAGAAAGACAATTTCCTTAAAACATGTTCTGCAGAACTGGGTTAAAAAAATAGCCAGTGCTGGAAAACAGTGAATTAGAGAAATAAATAATTCAACCACTGTCCTACAGCTCCTGCCCCAATCTCTCGATTTCCTCAATGAGGAAGTCGATGTCAGACTTAGTTGCTGCTGGGTTTGAGATGACCATTCGGAAGAAGTTGACTTTATCGCCCTGAGGCTGATACCCAACCATGGTAGTACCTGACTCCATCATCAGTGCCTTGATTTTTGGTGCAACCTTTATCATTTAAACACAAAACAAAAAGAGAGAAAGAGAGAAGAGTAATTTAAAAATGTATCATTTTTTCTATGTCACAGCATTTCTTCATTTGGAAAAAATAAATTAACAGACAAGAAAGGCACTGTAGGTTTTCTATAAAAATATCTGTAAGAGAAAGAGCTTGAAAAACTATGTAGGATTGGATATTTAAAGAAAAATTGACAACAATAATATCCATCTTTTTTATTAACAGACTAATAGCATCCTAGAGTATTCGCTATGTAACAGTTTTATATATTAAATCTATGTGTCATTTCTTTGTGTAGAAGATTCTGTCATAAAGAAATGTTTTCTGCCTCTGTATGAAAATCTTCTCCAGACCTTTTTGAGGGTAATGAATGTTTTCCATGAGAATATTATGTATTCTCAAAGTAATTTGTGTGGGGGAACAACAATGGAAATTTTTCACTAAGATCTATGTCACAAGGAATATTTTCTGTTAGCACAAGCCATGGAAACCTTCCAGCAGTTTTGCAGTACTGTGCATTTACCACAATCTCACTTCCTCACTTTAATTTACAAGGAGTAACATTCTGACAGTCTTCATATTCGGTATTGACTGAGCCCAGTTTTTCCATCCAGACCTTTCTCCTGCTCTACTCTCTGCCAGCCAAGGTCAGATGTCTGGCCCTTTTACTGATCTGTAGGATGTTTTATTATGTCCTCTAGCATCTACAGGGTCAAGTTAAATATTTCATCCTTCTTACCAATCTTATCTATCTTCCTCTATTCTCTCTTTTTTGGCAAATTCTTTAACATGTCACTGGGTTGACCCAGGAATTTCCATTCTCTTT